GGTCCTTGGACCGGTGTTATTTAATATCTTCATCAGCAATTTGGATGATGTTTTTGCTTTCCACTTTAGAACTATGTCTGGTGGGGCACTGTTCTTCATTCTGTATATATGGCCATCTCCATCTTCTCTCCTTTGCTTATTCAGCCATATGTCATACACCAGCTTTCTTGCATAGCTCTTCACTTGTTACTTTTTCAAGCCAAACTATTCCCACTGTTCACCTCAGGCACTGTCCTCCTCCGGACTGTTTCTAACTTACTATGCGCAATCTTAGACATCACCTTCTAGTGTGGGAACCCACAGAATACTAACACTTTTCACATTGCTTTTATATAGATTTTCAGTTTTATCTGTTTTGTTGTGGCACCATTGAAATCAGTAGCACTATATCCATTTATACCATCTGAGAATCTGCTATGCTACAGGAAGCCTATGGCACAGCTATATAATAATAATCCATCTCTGCCGATTTCCAGTTCTGTGCATGGGTCTATACTTCCACAAAAACAAAACAAAAAACCCCAAAACACCCTCCCCCCAAACAAAAACTCCTATTGGCCTCAAAAGCATTGATTTAAGTCCCTTTTCTCTTAATGAGTAGCTGTTGATTCTCAACATGTGCAAGTTAGTGGGGACAGCAAGTTTTTTACACATTTTAAAACATGGTATTTAGACGTGATGTGACTGTTGCTTAAATTCAGTAACGAGGGAAACGACATTAGTAAAACAGCTTGTAAGCAAATGTGTAGCAGCAAAATGTGAATGAATATAAACTTTCGGCTGCAAGATCAATGCGACTCGGTTTTGAAACAGAAAGAAAAATCTGACACAGTAGGTGTAAATGAAGAAGAGAGATTTGTTCCTGTTCATCAATGCTTCCTGTCTGTCAGTGCTTTGAAGATAACGTCACTGTGGGTGCATATACATGAGATGCTTTACTGCACATTATGCTAATCTAATGTGCAGTAAAGCGTCACTGTCTACACATGTGTGGGATTTAATGCACAGTAAATTAGGGTAATGTGCTGTTTACAAGTACCAGGAAATTCAGGTACTAGAGTAACAGCACATCTTTGCTCCGGGTCAGCCCAGGCAGCAGGGAGCCTGCTGCTGTCTAGCTAGGTCCCAATATGGGGGCGGGGGGAGCTGTGCCAGCTACAAGGGCAGCTGTCTACCTGCCACATGGGGATCAGGACCTATGCTGATACCCACATGGCCAAGAGAGCTGTCCTGGCAGCTGGGACTGCTGCATCCCAGGCACGTGGAAATCACGTTCTGACCCAATCCCCACGTGGTTGGGACACCCGTCCTGGCAGCCAGAACTGCTGCATCACAGCCATGTGGAGATCAGGTCATGACCTAATCCCAATGTGGCTGGGAGAACCGTCCCTGCTGAGTGGGGACGCTACCTGCAAGCCACATGGGGATCCGATCCCCACATAGCTGGCAGGCAGCATCTCCACTGAGCAAGGACAGCTTTCCCAGCCACGTGAGGATCAGGAATGGTGGCTCCCGTGCTTCCTGCCAGCTGCAGGGCTGGCACCCAGGGGAGCAGGGAGCTCTGCCTGGCTGCTGCAGGGAGGCAGAGCAGGGCAGGAGCAGCTCTGAACTGGGCTGTTCCTGTCAGGCACAATTTGATCCCAATGGGCTGCCTATGAAGAAAATTCAGGCACATTAATTGCACATGTAGACATACCCTGTATAGTGCAAGTACCAAGCAACATTACTGATATGTTGTCACTACCCCACAATCACTATCACAAAGGGTGAGAAACTGGAAATTCAGTTCTGAGTTTATTATCAGTTAATTATGTAGCTCAACATTGCACTGAAGTATCCAAGATAATCTCTGGTTTTTTGTCTGTACTATATTTGAGAAAGTCTAATAAACAGGATAAGTTGAATAGGCAGTTGTTTTGGGGACTGTCATGTGGAGGTAAACTAGCAAATTATAGGGTTGATTGAAGTGATGCATTTATGTAATGCTAAAACATAATAGTTGGTTTTAGGGCATATGGTGGGGCATTTTCATGATGTGGGCCCAAGTCTTGCAATGCAGGACACCTGTGCCCACAGAGAGCCTTTTCCAAGGATCAGCAAAACATGCCAAAGATGTAAAATGTACCATTGTTACTTAGTTATCAGATGCAGCTTTGTGGTAGGATTTTTTTGCTGAATAGATCTACTGCTATAATAATAAATGTTACCAGTAGCCAATACTGCCAATTTTTGAAGCTTTATTGAGAGTCTTGCAATATGTGGTATTTTTCTTAAAGCACTAGATCCTAGAGTCCAATGATTTTGTGAGATCCTCAGCACTTATTAAAACCATAACAAGTAAATTTCTTGTTCTCTTGACTGAGGAAAAAGGGTGGACAATATGTTGTGGTTGTACATTGAGTATACCTTAAATACTAGAGAACAAAGGAAAAAAAACCCATAAACAACCACAAAAAAACCAACCCCTCCTTATGTTAAGCCACTCTAATGATGGGGGGGTGACTTTTGAATGTTTTAACAAGATATTAAATAAGGACCTGATCCTGTAAACACTATCTACCAAGCATCCTGCCAACTACTGGAGATAACCCCCATTGAGTTCAATAGGATTGATTATTCATTGTAGCAGGTATTATGGCTCCAATCCTGTAATTGCATCTACATGGTATATACACTCGCCTGTAGGAACTGATCCCTGTATCAGCATGAGGTCTGAGTGCAAATGATAGGTCGGTTTGCCTGCACGGATGCAGTGTTAGGATTTGTAGAAGTAAAGAAATTTACTTGTTACACTTTTAATAAGCGCTGAGGATCTCACAAAATCATTTGACTCTAGAATCTAGTGCTTTAAGAAAAATACCACATATTGCAAAACTCTCAATAAAACTGCTAAAATTGGCAATATTGGCTCTTGGTGAGATTTATTATACTTATAGTAGTAAATTTATTCAGCATTCAGAGGATTGGTAATTTAGGCTCCACTTCTCCAAGTGCATACATATGGGTGGAACGTCCTGTGACCGACTGCAAGTCAAGCCAAGTCAGTCCCAAGGCTCCTGCAACTATTGGGGCACTTTAGATGCTGTAACAGCCCTTGAGATTAGTTGAGTTGCTTTGCATCATTGGTGATTCTTCAGGCAGAGTGATTTGGTGGTGCCCATCTCTCCAGGTATGGATGGCCATTGGCTTGCAGGGACCATGGAACAGGCTGTACTGGTTGACATGGTACCAGATAGGCCTGGCCTGGCCCATTGTGACTGACTGCACATAGCTGAAATGGAGCCAACGGCATTCTGAATGGATGCAAATATCTGCTCACGCAGGTCCAGCTACAGTCGGGGCTATAGTTCTTTCTGCCATTCTAGTTTGGATTAAAAAAAATAGTTTTTAATCTTCTTATCTAGATTCATACTTAGTGTAAGCAATCTAGCACGCAGACATGGATTATACACTTCTGTTTTCTGTAACGCATGCCGCAGGTTTTGTTAATCTCGGCTGACTGATTGGATATCCCAAAATATTATGCACAATTGATTTTTGTTATAGAAAATGCAGCATGAATAAAAAATACCAAGCCATTACTTATCAATATGGGCCTGATCCTACAGAGATTTATACATGTGCTTGAGATATACGTGCAGTCTACGTGAAGTCAAAAATGCAAACCGTTGCAGCAGTGCTGAGGTTTATGTTCCCAGCTTCCTACACACGTTTCAGAAAATATCAGAAATCCAAAAGCCCTAGGTTTTGAAATTACTAATATTTAGTCAACTCTGTGAAGATTTGCTTTAGAACAAGCTCACAAATAGGGAGGTGGCATTTTGTGAGCCAGATTTCTGCGACCTCCACACCCTACAGAAGACACAGATGTTCATAACCTTGTCCAGGGGGGTGTTTTTTTAAAGGGGTAGGAATAATTAAATAAATAAACAGACGTGTGTGTGTGTGTGTGTGTGTGTGCAATGTATACATATATGCATGTACATGTGTGCACATTAGGTATATATACACACATGCATACATGTGTATATAAATATAGGCATATACATATGCATTTGTATATGTGCCTATATATGCATATACACACATACACATGTCTACACATATATGTACATGCATATATATATTTACATGTATGTATATCTATATATTGAGGTACATATAAATGCACACACATATACACATATACGCACACACACGTGTATATCTATTCCTTTAGATACACACTTATATCCACACACACGTACATGTATACATATACACACATATAAGCACACATACATGTGTATCTATAACTGTCTATCTAGGTGTGGGGATATCCACATGTATATGTGGAGATTTATGCATATGTGTGCATATCTGCACCCCCCACACATATATACATATATATGCACACACACACATATGCACGTGCACACTCACATATATAGATATGCACGCGCACACATACATGAACACACACACATATATATGCACGCATGCACACACACATACACGCACACGTACATATATATGCATACACATATATATGCACGTGCACACACATACATATACATACATATATATATATACACACACACACACAGGCAGACAAGGTTCCTTGGGTAAATTTGATATCTTTTATTAGACCAACCCAAATGGCTGGAGAATAGTTATTAAGCAAGCTTTTGGGTTCAAAAACCCTTCATCAGGCTAAGGAAGCTGCAGCAGTTGGTGTGTGCTCTTACATACATATATATATGTACACACATACACACACATATCTATATACACACACATATCTATATATATACACACACACACATACATATATCTGTACACACCTACACACACATATCTATATATATATATATATACACACACACACATACATATATATCTGTACACACATACACACACATAACTATATATCTATATATACACACACACACACACACACACATACCTCCGCCCCCGCAGGGGCCGGAGCCGGGGCCGGGGCCGGTCCAGGCCGCCTGCTGCTGCGGCCCTGCGCCGCCTCCTCGTTCCTGCGGCCTTTCCGCCTGCGCTACCGCCAGGTGAGTGCGGCCGCCCCGGGCCCGCGCTCACACGCCCTGCGCGGTGTGTGTGTGTACGTGTATACGTGTACGTGTGGTGTGCAGCGCAGCGCACACACTCACAGGCACGCGCCCCCTCATCGCCCGTTGCCGGAGGGGCTCTGGGGTGGCTCCCTGAGACAGGTGAAGGGAGAGGAGCGAGCGAGGGGCAGCGGTGCCCACTGCCGCCTGGATGCACCCGAGGAGCCAGTGGGCCCTGCCCAGTGCTGCTCGGCCTGGAGACACGACCAGGTCGCGGCGGGCCAGGCCGGGCTGCCTTATGTGGCACCCAGACTGTGGGCCAAACCCACCAGCTACAGCTGTGACCCCCCCGGGTGATGGGGGCCATGAAGGGTACATCAGTCATCACTTGGGACAACAAAAGACAAAACGGGGATGGAAACGAAGGTCGTAGCTTCAGAACGAGCGCATGGAGAGGGGACACCGAGCAGAGCCCGCCAGACAGCGCCTGCTGGCCCTCAAACCAGTCCGAGGAGCCCGCGGACGCTGCCTGGAGGTGTGAACGCACAAGGGACAGGAAAATGGCGCCACAGTCCTCAGGGGTCCTCCCGACCGGAGCCTCCTTCCTGGGTCGATCTGGTGTCAGTTTGGTGACGTCCAGGAGGAGGTTGACCGGGACCTCCTGGGACTTGGCGGGGCCGTGGATGGGGAGTGCGTGAACAAAGCGGTGCGCTCAGGACCTCGGTGACAGGGCTGCAGCCTGGCGCGCTCCAGGTAGGTGCATGCCAGGATCTCCCTTTGCACACAGATGGGGCAGGCATCAGGCAGGTCCGTGAGCTGTGCCGGGCGCACACCTGTAGTGACAGCTCCGTGGAGGAGCTCCCATCTGAGGCCCCGGTGACTCGTGGGATGAGAGTGGAGCCCAGGGAATGGCGTCCTGTCAAATCTGTCTGATGTACATTGGGAATGCGGGCCACTGCCCACCAAGTAAAGCTAAACACCCCCTTAATTTGGGGGCCATCTAAGTGAGCATCAAGTGATTACTGGGGAAAACTAAAGAAGAAAATGGAGGGGAACGAAACAGAGGTTCAAAATGAGTGCACCGAGGGGAGACACCAAGCACAATAACCAAACAGTGCTCACCGGCCCTCAAAGGAGTCCGAGGAGCCAGTGGGCACTGCCCAGTGACACTCTGCCCGGAGATGTGAATGGATGAGGGACAGGCCTTTTGATTTGCCATTCCCATTCGAGAACGTGGGCCAAAGTCCACCAAATAGAGCTGTAACCCTCCTTCGATGAAGGAGGCCGCTAAGGACATATCACTGATCGCCTGGGACAGTTAAGGGACAAAATAGGGATGGGAGTGAAGGTGAAAGGTTCAAAATGAGTATGCTGAGGGGGGACACCAAGGAGAGCACACCAGACAGTGCCCACTGCCCTCCAAGGAGCCAGTGGACACTGCTCTGTGAAACTCTGCCCGGAGATGTGATCAGACAAGGGTCAGAAAAACAGTCCTGCCATTGCTGCAAGACCCCCAGCCAGATCCTCCTTCCTGCCTAGGTATATTGCTAGCTTGATGAGGGCCAGGCCTATTTGCCACATTAAGGGATTGTGGGCCAGTGCCCACTAAATAAAACTAAAGACCTCCTTCAAAAAGGGAGGGTAAAGGGAAAGTGGCAACTAATTTCTGGGGACAAATGATAACAAAGCAGGGCCGGGAATAGAGGTCAGAGGTTCAGAAGGAGTGCACCAAGGGGGGACACTGAGGAGAGCTCACCAGACAGTGCTCACTGGCCCTCGAACGAGTCCAAGGGGCTAGTAGGCACTTCCAGGAGAAACTCTACCCAGAGACTTGAGCAAGTGAGGGACAGGCCCCACAGTCCTTGGGGGTCCTCCCAGTCCTCTTGGCCAGAGCTTCCTTTCTGGTGAGATAGATGGCCAGTTTGGCTAGGACTAGGAGGAGGTTGACCAGGAGGTCTTAGGACTTAGTGGGGCCACAGATGTGGAGTGCACAAATAAAAAGTTGCAGGGAGTGGTGCTGGAGGAAATGGTGCAGAGGAACAGGAGGTTCTGGAGGAGCTGGAGCAGGGGGTGTAGCCTGGTGCACTCCAGGTACGTGTGTGCCAGGGTCTCCCTCTGCTCACAGAAGGGGCAGGTGTAGGGGGTGTCCATGAATTGTGCCAGATACACACCTGTGGCAATGGCTCCGTGGAGGAACCACCAGCTGAGGTCCTGAGTGGCTCGTGGAATATAAATAAGCTTGTCCACTGGAGAGTGGTGTCCTGTCCAGAAATGGTCGTATGTATGTATGTTAAGCACGTGTATATGTATGTTTATGCACGTCTGTCTGTAGATGTATGTTAAGCGGGCACTGGGCCCAGCCCTCCAGGGTGGGGTGAAATTGAGAGAAATCCTCCCCCAAGGGTGGTAAGATCCTAAGGCTTGTTTGTTAGATCCTGCAAAACAGTGGTCCTCACAATGATAAGCCTCCCTTTTCTCAGTTCAGGTGCTAGATACTATACAACTAATTATGGGGGCACCAAAAGAAAAACACTGGGGTAGGCGCAGGGGTCACAGGTTGATCACGAGGGATTGGAGTGGGGACTCCGAGCACAGCACAGCACAGCACAGCAGGCCAGTACCCACTGCCCTTCAGCTATGTCCAAGGAACCAGTGGATACCACCCCATGAAACTATTCTGGGGATATGTGCAGATGAAGGGCTGGAAAATGGTCCCATAGTCACCTGGGGCCCCCCAGTAAGATCCCCTGGAAGAGCCTGAATGATGACCTTAGCCAAGCTGGGAGCGATGATTCTCATGTTTTTTGCACCGTTTCAGAGAGCTCATGTCTTCCCTGTGTGGGATGCAACATATGATGGTTTGTATTCATACGGCCACATGCATGCTCCCTGAGCATGGGCGTGTTCCTGCAGTGCCTGTTGATTTTTGTTTTATCTTTGATGCACAGAGTGGTACCTGAGGCTGAAAAGAGAGGATGGTTTAACCCAGGGCTGGTTGTTCCAGGTTTTGACTTGCATCAAAACAGGCCAGGTAGCTCCAGCGGTAATCTGTTCAAATTAGCCTTGATTATCCTGGGGCAAAGAGTTAGTTTAGATGCTTCATAGGTAGTATTCTGTGTTTTCAGTTTTAAAATTTTAAATAAATTCCCTGTTTTTTTAATTGAAGTTTTTCAGTTTTTACTGATTTACGCCTGTTTTTACTGATTTACACCTGTTTTTCATTTCACTCAATTTTACCGAGTACAGTAAAATCCCTTTTAACTGGCACAATTGGGGAATGGCTGTGGGTGCCAGTAAGCTAAAAGTGCTAGTTACCTGAGGCACAGGTTTCCAGCCGGACACAGGGGGCAGGAGCAGGGGCAGTGGAGGGTGGCTCAAGCTGCTGCCTGGGGGTGTGGGGCTCCCAGCTCTGACCCTGGATGGGGTGGGAAGGGCCGCAGGAATTGCTCCCAGGGTGGGCGCGTCCCAGCTGTACCCCAGCGGCTCCAGCTGCTGCCCGCTCCCCCCAGCCCCTGGGCTGTGCTGTGCCGTGGTGCAGGCAGGTAGTGTTGGCTGCTCACGGGGCTGCTACAGCTGGGGTTGGGGTGAGTGGGGACAAACAGATCCCTGGGGGTTTCAGGGTGCAGCATTGCCCAGCAACTGCAGGCAGCTAGCATTGGCCTCTCCCGGGGCCGCTGCAACAGGGGCTGAGGTGACCAGGGACAAGCTGTGCCATGTCCTGTGCCCCCTGGGGCTCTGTTTGTTTCCACTCACCCGAGCCCCTGCTGCAGCGGTCCCGGGAACAGCCCATGCCAGCTGCCTGCACCATGGCATGGCGGAGCCCAGGGGCTGGGGTGAGTAGGGACAAGCTGAGCCTTGGGGGGGTTGGGGCACGACACAGCCCAGCAACTGCAGGCAACTGGAATCGGCCGCTCCCGGAGCCACTGCAGCAGGTGCTGGGGTGAGTGGAGACAAGCTGTGCCATGCGCCATGCCCCCCAGGGCTCCGCTTGTTCCCACTCACCCCAGCCCCTGCTGCAGCAGCCCCAGGAGCGGCCGACACCAGCTGCTGAGGGAACTGTATGTCATGGCTCTTGTTGCACCCCGAGAGGGCTGTGGACTGAGGGGCTGGGCCGGGCTCTTCCTGGGGGGTGCATGTCCCTGGATCTGTGTGCCGGACGAGAGCAGGCTTCCGCCCACCCCAAGCACCAGGAAGAGCTGGGTGCCGCCGCTGGCCCCAGCCTGCAGCAAGCAGCCTGCTCTTGGCCTGCGTGCAGATCCAGGGGCATGCACCTCCCAGGAATAGCCCGGAGCAGCCCTCCCAGGGTGCACGTAGCAGCAAGAGCTGCGCCCCCCACCCCACACCCACTGACGGTTCCCTCCACTTTGCTCCCTGCTGCAGCCCCGGGAGCAGCCAATGGACTGCGCCACACCCCTCCCCCTGCCCCTTCCCAAGTCCCAGCCTTACTCCCTCCCTCCCTCACTGCCACAGGACGTGTTATTATTTTTCCCAATTTAAACCTATATTTTTTGCTTTTCTTCCTTTTATCCCAATTTCAACCTGGTTTTTATGTTTGGAAAATAAACCTTGAAAAGTTCCCGGATTTTTTTTCCGAAAGTAAAAACAGAAAACATGGAAGAGTATTCATAGGTACTTGATATGGGACAATAAGTTTGTACATAGGAACACAGATTAAAAATCAATGTCTCTGGTTACCGGTCATCTGTTTTTAGCATGAGAGATGTCTTCTTGTGTCCTTGTCATAAACCAGATGTTTTTCCAGAATCATGCACATGCAATGGCTCTTGCCATTGCTGCAGCAAGGTCCTCCTTCATTCAGGTCCCGTCAAGGAGACAGCAAATGAGCAGGTGCATATACTTGTGTCACCACACTCACATATACTTGTGTCATTAGAGTAGGTCCTTTTGATCATGTTTTTTTTGAATTTCCAGTTTGCATGTGCAGGCAATTCAGGCATCACTATGTGGGCCAGTCTAGATCAGTCCCTTTGGGAAGTACT